GGCTCAGGCAATGGTGTATCTACGTCTATGACTTGGCTCAGGCAATGGTGTATCTACGTCTATGACTTGGCTCAGGCAATGGTGTATCTACGTCTATGACTTGGCTCAGGCAATGGTGTATCTACGTCTATGACTTGGCTCAGGCAATGGTGTATCTACGTCTATGACTTGGCTCAGGCAATGGTGTATCTACGTCTATGACTTGGCTCAGGCAATGGTGTATCTACGTCTATGACTTGGCTCAGGCAATGGTGTATCTACGTCTATGACTTGGCTCAGGCAATGGTGTATCTACGTCTATGACTTGGCTCAGGCAATGGTGTATCTACGTCTATGACTTGGCTCAGGCAATGGTGTATCTACGTCTATGACTTGGCTCAGGCAATGTTGTATCTACGTCTATGACTTGGCTCAGGCAATGGTGTATCTACGTCTATGACTTGGCTCAGGCAATGGTGTATCTACGTCTATGACTTGGCTCAGGCAATGGTGTATCTACGTCTATGACTTGGCTCAGGCAATGGTGTATCTACGTCTATGACTTGGCTCAGGCAATGGTGTATCTACGTCTATGACTTGGCTCAGGCAATGGTGTATCTACGTCTATGACTTGGCTCAGGCAATGGTGTATCTACGTCTATGACTTGGCTCAGGCAATGGTGTATCTACGTCTATGACTTGGCTCAGGCAATGGTGTATCTACGTCTATGACTTGGCTCAGGCAATGGTGTATCTACGTCTATGACTTGGCTCAGGCAATGGTGTATCTACGTCTATGACTTGGCTCAGGCAATGGTGTATCTACGTCTATGACTTGGCTCAGGCAATGGTGTATCTACGTCTATGACTTGGCTCAGGCAATGGTGTATCTACGTCTATGACTTGGCTCAGGCAATGGTGTATCTACGTCTATGACTTGGCTCAGGCAATGGTGTATCTACGTCTATGACTTGGCTCAGGCAATGGTGTATCTACGTCTATGACTTGGCTCAGGCAATGGTGTATCTACGTCTATGACTTGGCTCAGGCAATGGTGTATCTACGTCTATGACTTGGCTCAGGCAATGGTGTATCTACGTCTATGACTTGGCTCAGGCAATGGTGTATCTACGTCTATGACTTGGCTCAGGCAATGGTGTATCTACGTCTATGACTTGGCTCAGGCAATGGTGTATCTACGTCTATGACTTGGCTCAGGCAATGGTGTATCTACGTCTATGACTTGGCTCAGGCAATGGTGTATCTACGTCTATGACTTGGCTCAGGCAATGGTGTATCTACGTCTATGACTTGGCTCAGGCAATGGTGTATCTACGTCTATGACTTGGCTCAGGCAATGGTGTATCTACGTCTATGACTTGGCTCAGGCAATGGTGTATCTACGTCTATGACTTGGCTCAGGCAATGGTGTATCTACGTCTATGACTTGGCTCAGGCAATGGTGTATCTACGTCTATGACTTGGCTCAGGCAATGGTGTATCTACGTCTATGACTTGGCTCAGGCAATGGTGTATCTACGTCTATGACTTGGCTCAGGCAATGGTGTATCTACGTCTATGACTTGGCTCAGGCAATGGTGTATCTACGTCTATGACTTGGCTCAGGCAATGGTGTATCTACGTCTATGACTTGGCTCAGGCAATGGTGTATCTACGTCTATGACTTGGCTCAGGCAATGGTGTATCTACGTCTATGACTTGGCTCAGGCAATGGTGTATCTACGTCTATGACTTGGCTCAGGCAATGGTGTATCTACGTCTATGACTTGGCACAGGCAATGGTGTATCTACGTCGATGACTTGACTCAGGCAATGGTGTATTTACGTGTATGACTTGGCTCAGGCAATGGTGTATTTACGTCTATGACTTGGCTCAGGCAATGGTGTATTTACGTCTATGACTTGGCTCAGGCAATGTTGTACACTCATACACTATCTTATTAGGACATTCATTTAGTCAACACGTACAATTTTATTATAAAATCTGTATTTTTTCAATCAATTTTGATAAAAATAATCCGTGTCAATGAACATTTTATTGTCAGAATTACTCCTCATCCTCATCTCACACTGGAAATGAAACACCAAACTGATTAGACGGTTGATGAGGCGATTGCTACTGTATCTAGCCTACAGTTAGGTCCCAGGTCACTCCGTGTATTACCTAGTATACGTCGACGAGCGTGTCTCAGTTACTGTATCGACGAGGTGGTGAATATCAACTCGTCACTGTTAGCGACAGCAGCTCGGGACCGGAGGAGGACAAACGTCTAAAGGAACAACGCCAGGCATGGACGTCACATGACCGACGGCTGTGAAGTCAAGTGTGATGTTAACAGTAGATAGGTAACGAGATATACACGACACTAGGGCGCTATCGTCTATTGGTGTTTTTATTACTTCATCGCGGAGCCAGGAAATTGAGGCGGAACATATTGTATCAACATCGTACATACACAGAAACAATGCTGTATACTACAATGGCCCACATCAGCCGTCGAATTACTGTTACTACTCTAAAGATGGTGTACATCCCCTTTTTGACAAACTGTACATGTCAAGTTAGTCTTTATAAATGTTTTATACACGCGTTTTGACAAAATGTACATGACAGTTTACTCTTAATTGATGTTGTAATTTTTTCTCATAAACAATGGCAATTTGTTAGCATTTCTTTGTTAAATATTTACGTGCCAGGGTACAGACATTATTCTTATGCATTTATTAGCCGTTTAATTGTTCAAAGTGTGCAGATGATTTGCTATGCATTTTATTAGCCTTGGCTCCTCGCCTCAAACACGTGTGTACAACATCAATACAGGGTATATTGTCATATACAGTTTGCCAAAACATGTGTGTACAACATTTATAAAGACTTACTTGACATGTAAAGTCTGTCAAAAAGGGGCGGGCCATCGAAGTATACAACGTTACTTATCTGTACAACATATAGAGAGTATGTAGTGTCATTTTATCCATGTAAGGTACATGTTGTACTTGTATAACACATAAACAATAACATATAGTGTTATTTTTCGACGAATAATAATAGTAATCAAAACGGAGCGGACAGATTTTAAAATCTGTAATATTACTCGCCCATTGCAGGAGGATAAGGAAGAAATGTTCATGCAATGGTAATTTTCTAATATCATACACTGGTGTTTCTTAGTGATTTCCTCTCGATATCATATTTGTTATTTACTGTAGAATAATTTTTATAAGCATTTAATGCAAAACTATTATGTTGGAGCTTAGCTAAGAATAAACGTAGAGTTAATCAATCTGCATATAATAAGATTAAACAAATAGTTAATGAAATATTGAAATTAGACAGTAAAACGTAGCCCTGGTAGAGACTCAAGGGTGTGGTCAAATTCAGATGATGATTATACATGCGTGTACACACGGAAATTGTAACAGGATTGAGGTGGACGTCGCTTGGATTTGTCACCAATAACAACGTAAGATATGTTAACAGCTAACATGACTGATACTTGAGGCATTCTAATAAGACTGATTTCTTAATAATGAGGTCGAAAAAGGCATGGCGGATTTCCATCTCTTTTACAAGTGTTCATTACATTGGAGAGAGAACAGTTCAACCTTCACGAAGACGAGATGACGAGATTGGCGTTTATTGGAGTAGAGAGGGCTTAGCTGTGATATATTGAGCACAACAAACACCAAATATACATATACGAGAGGCAAATGCACGCCTCATTAGTTTTATGTTAGTTTGGTTGCAGTCGATGCCGGAAGGAGCTGACCGGAAGTGAAAACAGAAGCGTTATGCTACTTGTCTCAAAATATTATTATACATGGGTCAAGAAAGACTGAACCACACTAACAAAATAATATTCATGTTTTTTTATGCATCATTAACTGATTGTCAAAGGTGGAAATACTTACATTTATGTTATATTTGAGCTCGTAGATAGTGTTATTTCTGCATATAAATGATGAAATTTAGTTTTGTTATTGGTGTAAAATATACGATAGATACTTCGGTAACGACATTATGTACGAATGGTTCCATAGTCCCCCGGATAAATACCAGTGTTTTTCTAAAGACACCTAAGTAGGTGAATCAAGAATCGTTGGAGTAATAAACACGATTTTACCGATGGTACATATACTCGTTTACTATTTATATATTAGGATATTTTTCTCAACAACAAAACAAATACCTCAGGAAAACAATTAAAACATAGCAATGTATAAAAAGGAGTTAGGAACGAATTGTCGATTTTAGTAGCCAAACAATGGATTGTCTAACAAAGCTTTAAACAATGGAGCAGTGGGGATATGAATTTACTGGTTCGACAATTATAGCAAATCTCTTGCTAATTTAGAATGAGACATTATCTAGTAATACATTAGTGGTGGCTTGTGTTGTCAGTTTTGCAAAAGTGTGACATGGTTTTCTGAAAATGGGTTTTTATTCCGATGACGGTTTTGAAGGCTGAACATAACTTAACTTTCAACTTTTAATTAGAATCGAAGTATTTAGAAAACTCATAATAGGTCTACATACCACTTAACTCATAGTCAATATATACCAGGGTGTATGTTATGGCCGGTTTTCCTGCTAACGGCAAGAGAAAGATGCGATGCTTATGGCCATATTTCAGTTACAATAAACAGCCGACAGCGATTCGATTTTTTTAAATCTAAATTAAGACTTTTTGGGTGCATAGAATAAACTTATCGAACAATTTGATTAAAACGATAGTTTTTTGCCTTAACCACCACGGGTGGACCTCGGTATCCTGAAAAATGGTTGTTGCAAATTATTACTACTGGTAGGTGTCTCAACCTATTACGACTTTTGATTTTTTCTTAACCTATCATGATTGGCGTGTTGTTTGAACTTATTACTTATTGCTCTGATGTCTCAACCTATAAAGATATTTGGGAATTCTTAACCGTGTCATAATCTTTCACGATTTATGATTGTATCTATACCTATCATGATTGGTAATTACACGTATCTTTACCTGTCACAATTGACAGGTTGTCTTTAGCAATCACGATTGGTGGGCTATCTTTAGCAATCACGATTGGTGGGTTATCTTTATCAATCACGATTGGTGGGTCATCTTTAGCAATCACGATTGGTGGGTTATCTTTAGCAATAACGATTGGTGGGCTATCTTTAGCGATCATGATTTGTGTTTGATCTTTAGCGATCATGATTGGTGGATTATCTTTAGCAATCACGATTGGTGGGTTATCTTTAGCAATGACGATTGGTGGGCCATCTTTAGCGATCATGATTGGTGGATTATCTTTAGCGGTCATGATTGGTGTTTGATCTTTAGCGATCATGATTGGTGGGCTATCTTTAGCAATCATGATTGGTGTGTTATCTTTACTTATCATGATCGGTGTTTTATCTTTAGCCATCACGATTTGTGGGCTATCTTTAGCAATGACGTTTGGTGGTTTATTTTTACCAATCATGGTTGGTGGGTTATCTTTAGCCATCACGTTTGGTGGGTTATCTTTACCAATCACGATTGATTGGTTATCTTTACCAAGTACGATTTGTTTTTTTACCAAGCACGATTGTTGAGTTATATTTATCAATCATGATTGGTGGATTATCTTTAGCAATCACGATTGGTGGGTTATCTTTAGCAATCACGATTGGTGGGTTATCTTTACCAATCACGATTGGTGGGTTATCTTTAGCAATCACGATTGGTGGGTTATCTTTAGCAATAACGATTGGTGGGCTATCTTTAGCGATCATGATTGGTGGATTATCTTTAGCAATCACGATTGGTGGGTTATCTTTAGCAATAACGATTGGTGGGCCATCTTTAGCGATCATGATTGGTGGATTATCTTTAGCGATCATGATTGGTGTTTGATCTTTAGCGATCATGATTGGTGGGCTATCTTTAGCAATCATGATTGGTGTGTTATCTTTACTTATCATGATCGGTGTTTTATCTTTAGCCATCACGATTTGTGGGCTATCTTTAGCCATCACGATTGGTGGGTTATCTTTACCAATCACGATTGATTGGTTATCTTTACCAATTACGATTTGTTTTTTTTACCAATCACGATTGTTGAGTTATATTTATCAATCATGATTGGTGGGCTATCTTTAGCAATCACGATTGGTGGGTTATCTTTACCAATCACGATTGTTGGGTTATTTTTACCACTCTTGATTGATGGGTTATATTTACCTTTCATGATAGGCAAGTTCTCTCATCTCTCAACCTGTCATTATTGGCAGGTTGTTTTGTTAGAGCGGTAGCATATAAAACAAACAAATAAAACGACAATATCGTAGATGAAATGTTTTAGATCCAAATGTTATGCCACTATATAGCTAGCTATCTCTAGTTTTCCGTTCAGTAGCTGTTGTACAATTGTTCCTACGTTTTCCCGTCGCCATCGTTCCCAAGTACCTGATCCTGTCTCGTTCGCTGAATGCTATCTTATTATAATAGTCCATTGTCATTATAATAAGATCCTCTCCCTTCTCCTGTTTGCTACACTGTATACGTGTGCTATTATACCCCTCTATTAAACCACTAAGGTCGGCGGTCGTGGATTCGTTACACTGAAAGCAATGATAATCCGCAAACACAGTTTATATCGGAAAAGTCATTGGCGTTGATGATACATATATATGTCAATTACCTCGTATAGAGATTGATTGGAATCTTGTTGTATGACTGACAATACGTATGTATACGTATCTGACCAGCGTCTACAGACAGAAGTAGGGTTTTATTTCCTGGACAATACCATGTCTTAATTAGGTCAGCGTCCTCTCTAGACAACATCCTGCTCCGATATGCACCAAAACATGTGGCAAAACGTGACGTCATAGTGATATGACTCTGTGAATGCGACATTTCAGTGATTTACAAATGTAATGTTAAAAAACCCTGACATTTCAGTAAGAAAATGCTAGAAAACTCGACATTCGAGATGTAATTTTATAAAATGTGACATTTAGTCATATGAATCGGTCAATGGTCCAGATTGTTTTAGTGAAGTTATGCTATATTAATGACGATTCCGGGTTATATAACACTCTTTTTTTTTTATAATAAGCGGCTATTGACGCTTTTTGTCATTATCCGATGGTAAAGCGTTATTCTTTTCAGCCAAGTTGTATAATTTGAAACTAAATAATACATGGAAGAAAACCTCACATCTAAGCTATCTAGTTAAAACAGTATTTGTTTAATTTATTATTGACATATATACATGTAATAAATAAAACAGATATGTAGTTTTGTGATGGTAAGAATAGTGTGATATGAACTTACTTAGAATATTGAATATCACTTTTTCAGGTTCATGTCACATCACATTCACCATCACAAACTACTATGATTGTATATTATAGCCAAGGATATTGTTATGAAAGGTATATTAGATACCTACAGATATAGCAAATCTCAACTGTTTTACTGAAATTCAAATGACTGTATTTGTAATCAAAATACGGACCATTTAGTTCAGTATTCTTACTCGTATTACCTTTACATAATCTTTGTTATTTTTCCGCGTGATTTATTATTTTCCTCCATCTTTACATACAGCACTACCAACAGGGACGGCTTACTACTAGACTGTAAATAGGAAGTGGAACGATTGCGACTTTCCAATCGAGAACTTTCCCTTTCCCGAGAGTAACATCCCTACTTCACCTACCTACAGTGTTTACATGTCACAGATGATTCGGTATTCAGGAGCCTGCCCCGAACATCATGATTTTCTAGATGGTCAACTAGATAGATGTCGACTGCTGATGGACAGACTTACAATAAATGGTTTCCAAAGATACAGTATGATGAAGGATATGAACAAGCTTTAAGGTCAACTAGAAACATGTCGACTGCTGACGGACACACTTACAATAAAGGTGAAACTATGGACAAGTCTTAGGGTCAGCATCACGATCTGATAGAGAAATGACGAATTCTGTTTGTGATATGAAGAACACACCTTTGACTATGTTCAGTAGTATGCCTTGTAGTTTTGTGTCATTACCCTAAGACATTACATCACTTTGATTTGACCACCGATTGTCGTAGATGAAGCAGAAAACGCTTACCTTTCTGGATTACGTGGTCTTATTCTCTAGTCATTTTTGCAATGGTCTCCGTGTTAATCGTCCCTTTTGTTGATACTTCATTATTATCCTGTCGTTGCATACATACAGTAATATATATATATATACGTTGTATATACATAAACAGCTATATATAGCATTCTATCATATCCCATTCCTTTAATAAATTCCGCCATATCAACCATTAACAAACTTTATTCATTTTACAACAATTACGAAACAAGTTATTTTAAATTATATGTATCACTCTTGTTGACTCGGCTATAAGTGCGCGGGGTCTTAACCCTCCTGGTCGGGCAGGTGACCCCTAACCTTTTCACGTCCGATCGGGGAATCGAACCCAAGCTGCCCTGGTGAAAGGTAAGTGCGCTAGCCACTGCGCAACCCAATCACTCAAATTAACCATTAGTGTTTCACACTTAAGACAAATATACATGTAATCGATCTCATTGTAAAAAACAACATTGTTCCTTGGTATTTTTCTTCTAAAGGAAGGGTGTCTATAAGGCCCTTTTTTTGGCCCCGGTATATTCGGGTTTTCACCTCCTTATTTTGTTCAAAGATGTCCTATTGTATGACATGCGGAAAAACTACGGTAAAACTTTGACCGAAAGTGGGTTTCTGGGGGTACCAAAAGGAGTATGGTTAATCACAAATGTAGTTTGCTGTTTTCAAAATGAGCTTAAAAACCAAAATAATACCATTTCTGTTTTTGAAAACATGTATAAATTAGACGAGCATATGTAACGGAATGACAAATGACAGAAATGCAATCGTCACTTAAAGATTGTTTATAGAAACGAAGGATTACGTCAGGGGGTATTTTCGGTCATTTTCAAATGAAAAGTAATTTGTTTTCTCAATAATTTCCTTTCTAATTAATATTTTGACTTGAAATTTACAACTTCACTCATTTAAGTAGACTTACATAAACTGCATATTGACTACATACTTTCCTTTTGTTTTATACTGAGTTATGGCTTCTGGACACATCTCAAACTTGGCTTTTTCAAATATCTCTCAATTCTAAGTGAATTAAAAGGAGCATGACACCTTTTATATGCTATAAGTATAAGATGTCAATTGTTAGTATTGTATATTATATATCATATACTATTTGCTCAACACCTGTGGCGGCAGTGAGTTCCAGGTCCTGATTTGTTTTTTTACTTATCAAAGTTAACTTACGAATCAAAAAATGGCATTTGCCACCACAACTACTATAAAATGATTGATTTAATATATGAAGTTTGATTTGTTGGTAATTTGAAGTCTCCTAACCTCAAGGAAAGTATCTGCTTTAATCGTTAAAGTTAAACGATTTCATTGTTTTATCAAATGTTCTGCCTATTTCCAATGTTTATCCGCTGATTGTACATAAAAGGCATTTGGGGATAAGCGTGTAACTTGGCATAGAGTTTAGTTATATAACGATATTGAATTTGTGAAAGTTTCATACTTATCCCACAGTGCCTTTTTACTTGAAAACACATTTTCCTGTGATTTAGAGTACAAAGACCAAAGTGCATCTCCTAGCCTAACACCAACTATTTCCTGACAATACTAGTCTATATGAATGTATGTAGATAGTAGTAAGGGGGGCGTTTGACATGCTACACTGACCAAAAGTCAGATAGTTTATGTTTTGAAAATGCAAAGAGAGACTAAGTTGTTCGTTCAAGTAAATGTTGCAATTAACAGTTAATCCTTTTGTTAATTTCATACGATGTATTTGTTACATTCAATGCTAGCTGCTACTCAAATTATTTCTTAATTACTTTTCTTCCCTTTTTGTTACATTACGTTAACCATAAAGCAGGACAGGATTTCGTCATTTCAAGGTTAAGAAAATGCCATTCTTAAAATAGTGTTGACTTATAATTAGATTTATCAGGCTGTCGCGATCTGTGTCAACGACACTAAACATCAGCATCAATCAAACGCTTCATTTTGATATCAGTGTCAATCTAACACTTCATCACGATAATCTGTCCTACATCCAACTATTCCTTTGTGTAGACCTTCTTCAAGAAAGTACATATAGTGACGGGGAGGATTCATTAATGCTAGACAGCAGACATAATCAGATCGCTTACCGAGACAAGACTCAGGCGCTTGTCTGGAAGTCCATGTACACATTTTCACCTCGAGCATCACGCGCACCCTCTGTAATATGACTAAAGTGGGACTAATGCAATTTTTGTAAGAGTACATAACCTGTGTTTTATCCGTGTTATACTCTACAGCTCACGCACCATGGTAAGTCCCATCAGCAGCAAGAACTACATCTTCGTCGAGAACTTAACATACTGAAATATGTCCATACAATATACATTGCTTAATGAACGAGAAATATTTATATCGTGGTGTTTTTTAC